CATGGGTTCTTAGATTTATTGATGTAGTTTTCCCCGTTGACACTTGACCCGCAATGGGAACAAAAAAAGTCTAGCTTGCTGGTTCGCCAGTTTTTGTTAATGACAGTAAAGTTAATTAAAAGTTAATATATACTTGCTGTTAAAAAAAAATGAAATTGAAAACGTTGTTTTATTAATTCTTACCGTAAAAGTAATTTGTAAATGACACATATACGTTGATAATAATGACACTTCGCTTGCTTAAATGTGGTTCGCACCATAACAGTGGCTATTCATAAAAATTAATGTAATTCCTAGACACTACTGTATCTTTCGTATATCAGCCGACATGATGAGCCCTAGAATTGGACAAAAGGCCTCGCCGGCATGGGATTATGGCAGATGTAATGTGACTGACATATTCCTTCTTGCTTTAAATCATGAGCTCTTAGAAGTAAATGTTTAATCCGCTGTAGTAACAGAAATGTTTTCGAAATATTTAGTATGTAGTAAAAGCAGAGTATTTCATCATTTCCAATTTTCATACAGACAACTGTTAATAAAATCAACATTTCAATGCAGAAGAAAAATATGAACTGGACGACGGACTAATAAATAATGTATGAACATGCCAATTGGAAGTTATTCTAAGGTCAACTGAAATAATGAACTAAAGCTTTCAGTTTAATAAGAGCTTCTATCAAATCAAACAAAGGAAACATGTACAATTACGTAAATCAGAAAAACAGTGCATTTTATTTTTATTCTGCGATAGAACGCTTACAGATATACATGAAGAGGTGCTTCTGCAAATAACGACGGTATACTTCAAACTGGGATATAACAAACACATAAGTTTAAGTTTAGGGCAGCCGAGAGTTTGTTTATTTGTTTGTTTTTGAATTTCGCGCAAAGCTACACTAGGGCTATCTGCGCTAGCCGTCCCTAATTTAGCAGTGTAAGACTAGAGGGAAGGCAGCTAGTCATCACCACCCACCGCCAACTCTTGGGCTACTCTTTTACCAACGAATAGTGGGATTGACCGTCACTTTATAACGCCCCAACGGCTGAAAGGGCGAGCATGTTTGGTGGGACGGGGATTCGAACCCGCGACCCTCAAATTGCGAGTCGAGTGCCGTAACCACCTGGCCATGCCGGGCCGGAGGAGTTATGTCACAGACTTTCTTTGGAAAGGTATATTTCCATATCGAAATTATTAAATGATGTAAACTAAAGTAAACGACATTTAATATTTTTTTTTCGTGAAAGCAAAAATACCCATATAGAAAAGCGTTAAGACCAGCAATGAATTCCAAAACCATACTCTAAAGTCATACTAGAACAACGTCGTTAAACCCAAAGTGTTTAAGGGGGAAAAAATCCTCTGAACCAAAAGGTTATCGCGATGAAGCTGAGCATATCTCTTGGCATCAGTTTTAGAAAGACAATAAACAACGATTTAAAGATGAAAAAGGTACGCAAACTTCCACTAAAACAATAAAGGGATTTGGATGAGAAAAATGGCCAAGGACACTAAGATCGTAGCAACCCATTCAACAACATCAGGGCAGTTCCTAAAGGAAGCTGGTTGGTGTGTGTAAGTGGGAGAGGTGGTGGGGGAATAATACATTTGTTGATTAATCTAATCCTATGTAAAAAAGATTAAAAAGGTATTCTGAAACTAGAAACCGTCGATTAAATAATTATACCTTCGTTTCATAAATATCACACACACACACACATAACAGTAAACGTGTGAATATCAGAAAAACTTACACCTACACCTTAACATATGCTTATATTAATAAAAGTCAGACAGAACATAACATTCATACATACTATACAGATGTGTGTGTGTATAAAACCTGTAGTCAGTCAGCAGAGTCAAACACTATACTGAACTATCATAGTTCACCATCTCACATTCATTTGAAAAAGTGTAGAAGTTGACCAGAATTTGTTGCCTGTACTCATTCACCCACTAACTGCAAATTATGGGGGACCCATCCCCACACACATATGATCGGAACATTCCTAAACCAAATATCTGTCAATTCCTCTGATGCATATTCAATGGATTTTTGTTCCTTTGTTCTGTTTAAATGTGGTCTCAAAAGCTGAGTCCAAGTACGATAAAGTGTAAAGTTTACGGTCTACGATTGACCTTCCTTTGTAAAATAATGTTTCAAATGTACAAATAGATTTTCAGTAATAACTCGCTGTGGATAGACTTAAAAAAAAACTGTGGGGGTCAGTACTGTATTTACTCAAGCATTATAAAGTCAACACAACCAGCAGTTTTTTTTGTTGTTGTTTTGTTATTGCTGAAATGTTTTCACTTGATAGCTGATGACTGTTATACATACTGAAGCACGGTGATTCTGAACGTGGTCCAATTTGAAAATGCTACAATAAGAAAACATTTTCATTTGGGTGTGAAATTTTAGTAAATTTCTAAATTTTACATTATATTATTACATCTCCTCAACACCAAATTTGTTTTTATATTAAGGGGGCATAATATTTTTTGAGGTGGGCATGGAGCAAAAAAAGGTTAAGAACCACTGCTGTGGCACTTTCCTGTGACATTCTGCCGGTTGTTGTCATAACACTGTTGAGGACAGTGGTCAGCTCATCGATGTTAAGTGTTCGGTTTAGAGTTTTGGAATGGTATATAATTCTACTACAAGTATATGATGAGGAATAAAAGGAATTGATGACAAACATAAGCGAATGAAACTAACTAACTAACATGGCAGTAATTTAGGTTTTATATCTAGTTAGTAATGAAGCCGCCGTAGTGTATATTTTTCATTTATAGCTTATCACCGCTCAAGTGGTAAACAAAAATGTGGTTAACTATTTCTTTTTTTTTTTTGGTGGTTTGGGTCTAGGCCGGGCAGTGACATGTTAAGCAGTACGATTGAACTAACCCTATGACTTAATCAACATCATTAAATTTCGTGAATAGAGATTTGTATTTTGCACCATCTGTCAATTAACGAATTCGGTTGCTCGTGTCATTTATTTTTTTAATTCGATATTTTTGAAACAGTCTCTCCGTAAAGGTGATATCTCGTGTGAATGGTGACGTCACCGTAAATCTAGATTCACTGGACTAAGAACACGTCAACAACAGATTTCCCTAAAAACAAGATAGTGGTTTTGCAACAAGCGGAAATATGTTCTACAAGTGTTGAAAGTAGAGATAACATCTTATTAAGTTCCAAAACGTATATGTAATTTACTGAAATATATGCGGATATTTAAAGTTTACAATTACATAGAATGATGATTTACGAAAACGTTATGAAATAGAAGTGGTATAGCACAACCTGACAGTTGCAAATTATCCCTAACAAATACTATGTTCAATTCAGGGTGGTTTATACTCTTTTTCTGATAAAAAAAAAGTACCAACATTCCACGCAAAGGTAATTTATTATTTTTACAGGGCGCCTCAGAAAAGATGCTGATGCTTGTGAAGCTATAAGTGAAAATCTAGTTTTATAAAAATACTTTTATTACACTTTCCCCTAAGTAACATTTCGTTAGTCTATTTATATGACAAATGTTTAAGAAAGAATGTATGTTGTGAAACCAGTAAAATATTCTCTGTGTGTGTATTAAAACATACAAACATATACATAAAACATACACGCAATTAACAATGATATAATTTTATATGGAATACCGTTAAAAACAGAGAAAATTACTACGAAAAAAAACCACTCAATCTAAACACACACACACACATATTAAACTACTATTTTTTTATTCTCATTCTTATTTCACCGTTTTGTTATTCTGTAGTTTCTATATCATGCAAGTTTCATTTCATTAATAATTACATGCTTTTTCGCTCAATTTGGCATGTTTATAGTTTTATATAAATTACCTGTATAAATTTTAGTGTTAGTGTGTATGTGTACGCGCGCGCGTGTACAAGATATAAAGCTAACACTTTGAAAACTTTTCTTTTGAATAACGAATGTTGTGTTTTACATTTTCATGCAATCTCCGTGTGTTTCTTATACAAACAGGAACCCTTGTCCAACTAAATAAACTTTTTAAACGAATCTGATGGGTCGTTGACTTTTATAACTTCTTAATCACCAACTCATTTTACACTTTATCTAATCCACTGGTGTTGATTGAATGTTCTGAATACATCTCAAAATATGATGATTCAAACTGCCAATACCAGCTATCTGACAAAATCGATATGATAATTTCAGTTCTGATAAAACAACCTTTTTATTGAAATAACAAGGTCGCTAACCATTTAGTATTTCTTATTCAAGATAACTAAAGTAAACCTTCCCATTCATTAACATAACTAACAAAAATGTGAGATTTCAAATAACAAGCCAAAAAAATACTTCCTCACATATGTCATTTGAAAAATGTACAACTTTTAAAAACAGTAAATTAAAAAAGATGACACGAAGAAAAACTCGCTGAAAAGAGTCAAAAAGCTCCAGGCCCAGGCCTATTTATCACCGGCATATAGACTCAATCGACTTTTTTTAAATACATTTTTCTAAGCTATTTGTGCACTAAAGAGCTTAAGTTACGGGTCCATGACTTGGTTACGGGGCCGCTGATAATTTATGTCACACACACACACACAGACAAAAATCCGTCAGTATTGCAATTATTCCCACTAATTACTGCTAGGGATTTTTATATATATTTTATATAAACAATTAATAATTTTACCAAATCATTTGGTCAGTTCTTTACACTTAAAATTAAAGTGTATAAATTTACTCAGTATGTCTCTGAACGGTATGTCGATAACCGGTAATTTCAGCCTAAGCAGTCTGACTTAACTGGTTAACTTGCACAAAAATAACGTCACGTTTGTAACATACTCAGTTAATGTTATTTACATTTATGAAAAATAATTAAACATCAGTATAGACTTACTCAGTACATATCATTTATACTATTATTAACTGGTTATTCTAAGAGTCACAAGCCAATCTCATTTACCTTAACAAATATCAAAATCATACCTCAATAATTTAGTAGGCAGGAATACCCGTTTCCACTTCTTCAGGTCTGGCCATACCATGGTGTAACTTGTAAGTTGTCTTACAAGTAAGATTCAGTTTCAAATTATGTTCAAGTTCAAAGTTGAGCAAGTTTACACTTGCACTTTTTAAAGTCAGGTTACCTGTTCCGCAGGCTATGGAATCTTGGTACGAAACTATATCACGATAGGGAGAAAAGGCAAAGGAACTCTGAATTTCAATTTTGAATTTTCAAAATTATATAAAAAAAAGATGTTTCACCTTACACTAGCACCGAAAAACTAGTTCAAAAGTAGGCCTAACCAAGCCAAGAACACTTCAACTCACGCCTACTTTTTATCGTACGTTCTTGCAATTAAACCGGACTTACCGGTAACATACTGAAGGCGAGTATAGTAGTAGTAGTAACGGCTGTTGCTCACAAAATAACTTTAAATTCAATAAAGAAGGTACTAGTACATACACGTATTTTTTAGCTGTATGTCAGTGACTGCAATACGTTTATAAGTTATTTATAAAGTACCTCCAGTATTAATCACTAAAACATCATTCTAATATCGTCACACAAAGGAATAAAAAATTTAAACATATACAGCTCAACAGTAGAAGTGTATTGGCTTACAACGCTAGACGCCACCAGCGTAGAATATTTTTGGTCTGGAACAAAAGAGGGCGCTAGCATGATTTATAAATATATATTGTTTTCTTTCTCTTCACAGGAAAGAGATAAAAAATGAAATTTGTTTTTGTGTTTATTCTTGCATAAAGCAATACAATGGTTCACCTGTACAGTATCCAACTCGGGGATCGAGACCCAAATTCTAACGTTATAAGCACTTAAAATAACCGCTGAGCTACCAGAGGAACACAAATTAATGTAATAGGTATATAAAGTGAGAAACATGTTTGCGTTTTCTGTATGCACTAGTAACAGACCACTATAGTTGTTCTTTTTATCATTTATATCCAGGAACGCTAGCATTTGTACCTTGTGATTTCTAAAAATATAGGCCCGGCATGGCCAGGTGGATAAGGCGCTCGACTCGCAATCTGAGGGTCGTGGGTTCGAATCCCCGTTCCATCAAACATGCTCGCCCTTTCAGCCGTGAGGGCGTTATAAAGTGACGGTCAATCCCACTATTCGTTGGTAAAAGAGTAGCCCAAGAGTTGGCGGTGGGTGGTGATGACTAGCTGTCTTCCCTCTAGTCTTATACTGCTAAATTAGGGACAGCTAGCGCAGATAGCCCTCGTGTAGCTTTGCGCGAAATTCAAAAACAAACAAACATCTAAAAATATATTCTTCCAAAATAGGTTGATATTGTCCACTCATATTCATACACTCTATTGTCATTCATAACTAAACCCCAAACCAGGTTACGAAAGCTAAGTTTCTATTATATTTCGTCTGTAGCAAAAAAAATGACAGTGTATAATAAAGAATCAGACTTTTAATTAGATTATGCAAACAGTACTATTAAGTCCCATACAGCTGTAGTGTACTGACCCTCTATACGCAATATCTGCAAACTAAAAATTGTTTTTTGTTTTATAAAATTTTCTTGCAAAGCGACACAATGACTATCTGCGAATAACCGTTCCTAATTTTGAACTGATAGATTATAGAGAGGGCAAGTAATCAAAAGCACCCTCCGCCAACGTTTGAGCTGCTCTTGTCTCATTCAGTAGTGAAATTTGGCCTTCAATGAACATGAATCTTTAGACTTACAGTCCGGGCACGCTAGCGGCTAGGTTACGTCAGATCGTGCAAAAAATATATAGCTTGGGCGTAAGCATTGCTTCAAATAACGTCATATCTTTTCAATCTAAACTTTTGGCAGTGATATATTTCATCAATATTAAAGTTTAATTATTTCGGTAAATCAAATAAAAGTATGATAATTATAAAATTGTTTAAGGATTTTTCAAAATTTGCAATCATATTTAGAAAAACTTATATTTATTTAATTTTTTCAAAAGCTACTAAGCATGATATTACAACTACATTAAACAAAATAATATTTTGCAGCTCGTGAAGTTGATAAAACATTGTTTTAGTGTTTTTAGGGACAATAATTACAATATAATATATCAATGTTTTTATTATGGCAAAGAAACTTTAAAATATATGAGTAAAATATATATATAGCATTTTAAAGCTTTGGGTAATAACAAAATATTTGTTTCAGTAGCTAGAGTTAGTAAAAATATGTTCAAGATTCTAAAGTTGATAAAGTGATAAAATAATGATTTAAAGTTCTTAAAGTTTTATCAATAAAATATTGTTGTAATGGTTAATAATGGTGAGCGGGTCCTTATAGATTATTCGATAGAGAGATCAACGTTAAGTCTGGTCTACTTAAGATAACGAAAGCATTTTATTTCTTCGACTACAAGTTCATAAGTTTTATGTAACTAACCTAACGTTCACCGATCGATAAGCCTAACTTCATAATTCCACTTACTTAGTAATTCTCTTAGGTATTGCACTTCTCGTATGTCTATTACTGCGTCGCCAAAGGAAACTCGAAATTTAAAAAACTGAACTAAAAAACTGTTTATATCAATTTAATAAGTTGCAGACTTATTCATTGGCTAAAACCACTCTCTCAATAATTTGCTAAGTTCACTGTCTAACTTCATCATCAGTTTACTCTAGCCTAATTCGTATTTTATATTGCTCAGACTGTTCTAAACTTGGGATAAAAATTCCAGTTATGCATTCAAAGCGTGATGTTAAACTTCCTTACGACCGAACAACAACACATATTTCGAGAAAAATCTACATATAAAAATATATACTACAAAATATAGACACTACATTTGAAGAGTTACATTATTTATTGTATAGCGGGTCATTGCTGACATTCAATAAAAATATTTTTTCTCATTTAATGGTTTTCTTTTAGAACTGAAAAAAAGATAGCACATTAACAACGAATGTGTTCAATATTAATCTAATTTTCGAGAAGAAATATCTTGAATTTTACTATTATATATATATATATCATACACTTGAACGTTTTTAATTTAGAGATACGAGCCCCCCAGTGGAACAGCAGTATGTCTGCGGACTTACAACGCTAGAAACCTGGTTTCAATACCCGTGGTGGGCAGAGCACATATAGCCCATTGTGTAGCTTTGTGTTTAATTTCAAACAAACAAACAATAGAGATACGATAGGTTTGGCTTGAATTTGGCGCAAAGCTACGCGAGGGTTATTTGCGCTAGCCATTCCTAATTTAGCGCCCCCTAGTGGCACAGCGGTATGTCTGCAGATTTACAACGCTAGAATCCGGATTTCGATACCCGTGGTGGGCAGAGCACAGATAGCTCATTGTGTAGCTTTGTGCTTAATTACCAAAAATTACAAACAGCAGTGAAAGACTAGAGAGAAGGCCGCTAGTCATCACCACCCACCGCCAACTCATGGGCTACTATTTTTTACCAACAAATAATGGGATTAATCATCACATTATAACCCCCCCTACGGCCGAAAGGGCAAGTTTAGTAGGATGGGCATTCGAAACCACGACCCGCAATTTGCGAGTCGACTTCCCTAACCACCTGGCCAAGCTAAGCCAGACATACGATAGAAAATACATTATATTAAACATCATGCTCGTATTTTTAATAACAAATGTGAACTTGTGGTGAACTGATACATAAGTTGCTTAAGTACAAGCTACTACATTTATTTTTAGCATCAAAGATGTTGACACTATTGACAAAATACACTCTTTCCTAGAATCACAGTATGAAGAAGTATAATATAGTTAGAACAGATCCCCACGACTTCAAGAACCTTTTACGTTTGGACCGACTTTACCTTTACTTCTGGACTATTTTAACCTCTAGGTTTAACCTGCAAGTTTGGATTACCTTTTTTAGCTACTTTGACTTGACTAAAGTTGACCTACGTATTGCCTTTATTTCAAGTTCTGGACTATGAGTGTTTTTTAACCTTTGGTCTTTACTGCTTGTAATTTATCCTCCAAGTCTGGGTTATTTTTAACTAATGCCTTGGTAATGAGTACTTTATCCTCTATACCTAGAAGGTTACCTTTTAAGTTTTGATTTTTTTTTTTCTCTAGACCTAGATTTTATTTTACCTTCTTAGCTACGACTCTATTTACTTTACAAGTCTTAATTTTGCTTGATCACGAAGGTCTTGACTTACGTTTATTGTTTAGGGTTTAATACTTTTATCATTCAAGTCTTAAATTTATCGAAACTTTTAGGTTTTGATTTTGTTTATCATTTTATTTTACCTTATAGGTTTGAATTCATTAAGATAACTTTATATTGCCCCCCCCCCCCCCAGGTTATTATTTCTTTTTTACAAAACTTTTAGCACTTGACGTTTCACCTTCTAGGTTTTAAACAACTTTCTTTAGCCCTAAAAGTTTTGAATTTCTTTACTATATTTATATCTTAATTTCCATTTTACCACCAACACTCGCTCTTTTTCATATTCTTAGTCTTAATTCCTGGTGTAAGTAACGTTGGTACAGTCCTCTATAAAACAACTTACATACTTGACGAATTGTCCATTACGTCAGTGTATAGTATTCTTATACTAAGTAAAATTAACAGCTTTTAATCAAAGTTAATTGCTAGTTTCATATACTACAATCAACAGAGACGATGTTGTATACAATGAGGCTTTTATATAGTGGTCTTCACACATTCTGTTGAATCAAGTACATTAACCTGTACAGCGCTCTCTTTGTGACAGAAGAGAAAGAAGTAGCCTGGTAGTGATTTATTGTGATGCCCATACAGGGTTGTTCAAGGACTAACGACTCTACTAGTTGAACTGATCATGGATCCAGTATGAACGTACGAATATGTTGACATGAACAGTTTGGAGCGGGAAAAAAAAACAAACAGTTAACTAAAACGGGAAGCAAAACTATAGTATCAACCAATAAAAACTGGCTCAAAAATTAAAAGCAGTATAAAATCAGGACAAACAGTAGACAGAACGATGGCTAACATTGAAAGGACTGACTGGATGTGTGAATATACTAAAATAAAAGGTGGTTAAGTGTTTGTAATAATAATAATGCAGGGATATAAATGGTCATGAAAACGGTGTTGTTTTGTTGTCATCAGTTGTCACAAGTATTATCAATAGACATCATAAATATTGATCAAGTTTAGAAAGATC